CTTCATCTTTCCCAAATCAGTCATGGAGAATTCTTTCATCATTGAATCCTTAAATTCTCCAAGCATAGAATCTGAATTTCCAGTGTAAATCAAATCATCAACATAGAGACTTACCAGCAATACTTCTTCGTTCTTCTTTTTCACGAACAGAGTGTGTTCACAGTAACACTTCTCAAACCCCTCCCTTAAGAAGTATCCTTCGATACGACTGTACCAAGCCGGAAAAGAAGTCTACGCCTTGTTTCTGGTGATATCCTTTAGCAACCAATCTCGCCTTGAATTTGTCGATCTGCCCTCTCTCGTTGAGCTTGGTTTTAAAAATCCATTTCACCCCAATCACTTTCACTCTTTCTGGTAACTCCATCAGTTCCCATGTGTTGTTTTCTTCAATCGATGAGATTTCTGCTTCCATTGCTTTCCTCCAAACCTTTTCTCTTACAGCTTCCTCAAAGCTTTCGGGATCCTCAGCTGCGATAAACATTGCGAATGTATCATCTCCATCCTCAGTGATAACAAAGTTTGCAGTTTTAGCATTCCCAGCTACATAATCTTTCATCCAAATCGGAGCCTGCCTTGATCTCCCAGACCGTCTCACTTCCTGATTTGGTTGCTGCTCTTCTACTTCCTCTGTGTTATCACCATCATAGTGCATATCTCTTAGAAGAATCTCATCACTTACCCTTAAAACATCTCTTTTCTGTCTCTATCTCTCCCACTCTTGTCAAATACCTCAAGCTTCCAACTAATTGCTTGTACATCGTTGAGTCTACCGCTTCTCCTGCTCCCACCTTTGACAATTTGTGGCCCGGAACAATTGGATTCCTCACTGGATTACATTCCTCCATACCATATTTCTTCAACATTTCTTCTGCATACTTTCGTTGATTGATGAATATTCCATGTTCATCTTGAATCACCTCAACTCCCAAGAAAAACTTCATCTTTCCCAAATCAGTCATGGAGAATTTTTTCATCATTGAATCCTTAAATTCTCCAAGCATAGAATCTGAATTTCCAGTGTAAATCAAATCATCAACATAGAGACTTACCAGCAACACTTCTTCGTTCTTCTTTTTCACGAACAGAGTGTGTTCACAGTAACACTTCTCAAACCCCTCCCTTAAGAAGTATCCTTCGATACGACTGTACCAAGCCCTCGGAGCTTGTTTTAAGCCATACAAGGCTTTCTTCAGCTAATAGACCTTGTCTTCTTCATCCTTCACTTCGAATCCCTTAGGCTGCTCGACGTATACATCTTCTTCTAACTCTCCGTGCAGGAAGGCACTCTTAACATCGAGCTGGTATACCTTCCATGCTTTCTCCGCAGCCAAAGCTAGTATCGATCTGATGGTATCCCATTTGGCCACCGGAGCAAAGACTTCCTAGTAGTCTACGCCTTGTTTCTGGTAATACCCTTTAGCAACCAATCTCGCCTTGAATTTGTCGATCTGCCCTCTCTCGTTGAGCTTGGTTTTAAAAATCCATTTCACCCCAATCACTTTCACTCCTTCTGGTAACTCCATCAGTTCCCATGTGTTGTTTTCTTCAATCGATGAGATTTCTGCTTCCATTGCTTTCCTCCAAACCTTTTCTCTTACAGCTTCCTCAAAGCTTTCGGGATCCTCAGCTGCGATAAACATCGCGAATATATCATCTCCATCCTCAGTGATAACAAAGTTTGCAGTTTTAGCATTCCCAGCTACATAATCTTTCATCCAAATCGGAGCCTGGCTTGATCTCCCAGACCGTCTCACTTCCTGATTTGGTTGCTGCTCTTCTACTTCCTCTGTGTTATCACCATCATCATTCTCTTCTTCTGCAACTGTTTCTTCTAGAGTATCTCCTGGATTTTCAACTTCTTTTTCTTCATCAGAATCCAATTCTGTATCACTCCACACCAGTTCTTTGTCTTGGCTTGTTCCTGTCCAATCCCATCCTTTGGACTCATCGAACTGCACATCTCTACTTATCACAATCTTCTTCGTCTCCGGATTGTATAGACGATAGGCCTTAGACTCCTTACTCAGTCAAACATCACACACTTAGCACTTTTTTCATCAAGCTTGATCCTTCTTTCATATGGAATCATGGCATACGCAATACACCCGAAGATCCTAAGATGTTCCACAGTTGGTTTGTGATTGCTCCATTTCTCCTGAGGTGTCACATCTTCTAACGCAGCTGATGGACTTCGATTCAGTATATGCACTGCATATTGAACAGCTTCTGGCCAGAACCTTCGTGGCACCGATTTTTCCAATAGCAAGCATCTAGTCATGTTCATGACACTCCGATTTTTTCTATATTCTCTCCGCCTCTGCTCGAAAATTCTTAAATGTGCTCGAAAATAAGTCCAGCATTTCCTACTAAAATCATCGATGAAATTAATGATATACTTCTTACCACCAGCTGATGTTGGGGAGATGGGTCCGCATATGTCGCTATGGACCAACTGCAGTCCACGAGTGGATTTCCATAGGCTCTTCTTAGGGATGCTCTCACGAATTTGCTTACCCCTCATACAAATTTCGCATAGACCGGCTTCAGATTCATCTTGGTCGAGCTTTGTAATGCCATTCACCATTTGTTTCTCCACCAATGATCTCAGTCCCGTATGACTAAGATGCCCAAGCCTCTTGTGCCATATCTGAACCGGCTTCTCCATTACTTGCAGGCACTTGGTTTCCACAGTTTCTCTTGCCTCTTTCACTCTTGCTTGGACGATGAACATTCGATTCTTTGTCATGGTAGTGCGCAGGACCAGTCTCTTGAATTGTTTGTTCCAGATCTCACACACATCTTCATCAATGACAACCTTCAAGCCCTTTTGTTGCAGTTGTCCCAGACTGAATAAATTATTTTTCAGACCTGGGACATAGTAAACCGATGTGATTACTGAGATAGAGCCATTGATCTCCAGTCGCAGATTTCCTCTTCCTTCTACCATCATCCTCCTGTCATCACCTAACTTCACATTTTGGCGGAAGGAACTATCTAGTTCAACAAACTAGTCTTTGTTCCCGCACATATGGTTGCTACACCCCGAATCTAGGAACCATATGTGTTCTTCTCCCTTAATTTCGTCGATGTGCGCCATGAGCAGCATATCTTCCTCCATCTCCACGAAATTGGCTTCCTTTTCCCATTCTGGACATTCGGACTTGTAATGTCCTTTTTTGTGACATTTGAAACACTCCACATGTTCCTTGTTGTAGCCCGAGCTTCCACCTCCACGACCTTGGTATCCTCCTCTTCCTCTTCCTCGATATGGAGATCTACCATGGCCTCTTCCTCCTTCCGGTTTCCACTGGCTTTCCACCTTCAACGCGTGTTCTTCTCCTGTGTGTCGACTCAGATTCTGCTCATGAACCATCAATGAGCTTTGTAATCCATCAACACTCATCTCATTGATGTTCTTTGATTCTTCGATCGCACACACCATGTATGTGTATTTTTCAGTAAGTGTACGCAAGATCTTCTCGACCACTTTGGAATCCGGCATCTCCTCTCCAAGGTTTCTCATATCGCATTACTCTTGAGACATATTGTTCGATCACCTCTCCTGCCCTCATCTCAAGAACTTCGAAGCTTCTTCTCAGCCTCTGCAGCTGCGCACTCTTGACTCTGTCATCGCCTTGATATTTCTTTTTCATCGAATCCCACAGCTCCTTCAATGTTTCCTTCTTCAGAATTGTTTTGAGAATTGTCTTGTCGATTGATGCGAACAAGTAATTCTTCACCTTGTGATCCTTCACGATCCTCTCTACACGCTCCGTTCTTTGTGCGCCATTCAGGATCACGTTCGGTTCCGGTTGACTGATCCCTGTCTCGATAAGATCCCACCACTCCTTGGATCTCAGCAAGTTTTCCATGAGCATTGCCCAATGCTCATAGTCTCCGTCGAACTTGGGGATAATCACAGAATCTTTTTCACTCATTTCTCTCTTATACCAGGCTCGTGACAAGCTCTGATACCACTTGTTACTTTGTAAAGCTATTCAGTTTTGAAAACAGAGGAACAAAGTTTGACTGAATGCTTCACGATATCATTATTCTCAAGAGATTGACTCTTAAATAGACCTTACAACGTGCAGCTACAAAATAGGAACTAAACAACTGAAACAAATTGACTCCTACAAGTCAGGAGACTTATTCAAAACGATTGAAACATTCAAACTTGACCAATTGACTCTAATTGATTCTTCAATTTTGTCGAACAGCTTTCTTTGACATCCCGAGTTTTATCAGAATGGTTCCAAGTGATTTGAACGTTGGGTCATCGGGTTGAATTCCGGATGAAACCATCTCTTTGAAAGTCTCAACAGCTTCTTTGAATCTTCCGTCTAAAGCGTATAAAACGAGAACGTGTTGTAACTCAACGGATCAGTTCGAATCTTCATCTCTCTCATCTGTTTTGCTATCTGAGTCGCTTCTTCGAACCTTCCATTCTTCTTGTACATACATAACATCATCCCGAAGGTGAACTCGTTTGCTTCTCTTCTCTGTTTCATGCTTTCGAATATAGCTTCCATTTTTCTCACCATTGATGTTTCACTATACAGGTTGTTGATGTATCTACATCCGGATACTATGTCTTGCTACATGATTGAAGAAGCTTTCGGTATATTGCTTCAGCTTCATTTAAGTAACCGACTTTAGTGTAGAGCTTGATCAGAGAATTGTATATAAACGAGTTGTATTTTGTCAAATTTAAACAATCTTTTGCAAAATTGAACCAACTTTTTCATTTAAATTGAAATAGTTGTTTTTCTTATGGATATTTAAGGTGTTCCGGGTAAACATACTTTATCCGAACCGAACCAAAAATAAATTCGATTTTATTAATTCAGCTCTCCATTCAAATAGCCAAACTTAATTCGAACCGAAATTCCAAAATACTTGAATGGATCCTAGAATCCCTTAAACAGACTACTCATAACTGAACAGAACCAATCCAAACTCGAACGGGTATCCTAATGGCCCAACTGTAGGCTCTAGGATCGAAGAGTGATAGTTTTATCTAATTAAGTAACTTAAGTTAATATGGTGCAGAAAATAGGGATTCTTACAATTGTTATGTAACATCATATATGTCTCTTCAACATCCTCCCTGACTTTAGACGTTTTGTCGAGTGGAAATTTATTCCCAAAATAAATGGGGAGAGTGGGTTCGCTGACTCCGTCTCAACCACATGACTCGATAACCGATCAATAAATGTCTTTCTAAATCTTTGGTTGGTGTCCACAAAAACAAAATTATTTTCCCATTTTACTCATTTTTGCTTCTTTTTAAATAAAAAATAATTCATATATATGAAGAAGAATTGCCAAGAATTTTTCTTTTATAAAGACAAGTGAGTAAGCAATACATATCGATCACTTACCATTCAACAAACAAAACGTATTTGTTTCCAAAAGAAAATAATTGTCATGAGTCGAAACAAGTCTTATTGGTTTGGTGTTACCATCTATTTCTTAGTTTCTTGTCACCCTTTTATAAACACCTTTGCTTCTCCCACACAGTCCTTGTGCCGCAACGACCAAAGGGATGCTCTTTTAGAGCTAAAAGAAGAGTTATCAATCCATTCCAGAAACAGCGCTCCTGTACCAACAATTTCATGGAACAAGCGCGTCGACTGCTGTTCTTGGAAGGGTGTGAAGTGTAATGCTATCTCCGGAGAGGTGATATCACTAAAACTTGGTGACCCCTCTACATTCAACAGCTCTTGGAAATCTAGCAGTGGTCTTTTTAAACTCAAAATCTTCTTCACCTAGATCTTTCATCTTTAGGTCTCCAAGGGGAGATTCCTTCTTCCATTGGAAATCTTTCTCATCTCACATATCTTGATCTTTCTTTCAATCAATTAGTTGGTGAAGTTCCGGCTTCAATCGGTAACCTAAACCAACTAGGATACATGGATCTTTCAGATAATAATCTCAAAGGTAATATTCCTACTTCATTTGCCAACTTATCCAAGCTTTCTGAATTGCACCTCCGTGAAAATCAATTCACGGGTGGCGATATAGTATTAGCCAACTTAACCAGCTTATCCATTATAGTCCTCTCCTTCAATTACTTCAAATCCGCCATTTCTGCTGACCTTAGTGGACTCCACAACTTAGAGCGATTTTGGGTGTATAACAACTCATTTTTCGGACCTTTTCCCTCATTCTTGCTCACGATTCCTTCGTTAGTCGATATTGATTTAAGTGAAAACCAATTCGAGGGACCTATTGATTTTGGGAATACCTCTTCATCATCTAAGTTGACAGAGTTAGATCTCAGCCATAACAATTTCGGAGGACGAGTCCCTAGTTCTATATCAAAATTAGTCAATCTCGATAACTTAGATCTTAGCCACAACAATTTAGGAGGGCAAGTCCCTAGCTATATATCAAAATTACGCAATCTCTTATCTTTAGATCTCAGCCATAACAATTTCGGAGGACGAGTCCCTAGTTCTATATCAAAATTAGTCAATCTCGATTACTTAGATCTTAGCCACAACAATTTAGGAGGGCAAGTCCCTAGCTATATATCAAAATTACGCAATCTCTTATTTTTAGATCTCAGCCATAACAATTTCGGAGGACGAGTCCCTAGTTCTATATCAAAATTAGTCAATCTCGCTAACTTAGATCTTAGCCACAACAATTTAGGAGGGCAAGTCCCTAGCTATATATCAAAATTACGCAATCTCTTATCTTTAGATCTCAGACATAACAATTTCGGAGGACGAGTCCCTAGCTCTATATCACAATTAGTCAACCTCAGTTCCCTTGATCTTTCCTACAACAAGTTGGAAGGTCAAGTACCTCAATGTATATGGAGATCTTCTAAGTTATATTCAGTGGACCTTTCTTATAATTCTTTCAGCAGTTTCGGCATAATTCTAGAACCCACAAAGCACCAATTAGTAAGAGACTGGGATCTTAGTTCAAATTCACTCCAAGGACCAATTCCCCAATGGATCTGCAATTTCAAATATTTTTCCTTCTTAGATTTTTCCAACAACCATCTCAATGGCTCAATTCCACAATGTTTGAAGAATTCTACTGATTTCAACATGTTAAATCTTCGAAACAACAGTCTAAGTGGATTTATGCCAGATTTATGCATCGATGGCTCACAGTTGCGATCACTTGATGTCAGCCTCAACAATTTCGTGGGGAAACTTCCAAAATCTTTGATCAACTGCGAGTGGATGGAGTTTCTAAATGTGAGAGGAAACAAGATCAAAGACACGTTTCCGTTTTGGTTGGGATCTCTACAATACCTAAAGGTTCTTGTGCTGCGATCAAATGCTTTCTATGGTCCAGTCTATAACTCCTCTGCCTATTTAGGGTTTCCAAGTATGAGGATCATTGACATATCTAATAACAACTTTATTGGATCATTGCCACAAGACTATTTTGCCAATTGGCCTGAAATGTCAAAGGTATGGATTAAAGAAGACTACATGGAGTCCGATTACATGGTCACTTTCTCTATGTATGAGTCGATCGATTTGGTGTATAAGGGAGTAGATACTGATTTTGTTCGGATCTTTCAAGCCTTCAAAGCCATTGATTTTTCAGGAAACCTATTCTCCGGAGATATCCCTGAATCTGTTGGTCTATTGAGCGAATTGCGTCTTCTCAACTTGTCAGGCAATGCATTCACAGGCAATATCCCACCGTCCTTGGCAAATATTACAAAGCTCGAGACATTAGACCTATCGCGAAATAACTTGTCAGGTGAAATTCCTCAAGGTCTCGGGAATCTCTCATCTCTGTCCAACATCAACTTCTCCCACAATCATCTTGAGGGATTGGTGCCTAGGAGCACACAGTTTGGAACTCAAACTTGTTCTTCATTCATGGGTAACCCCGGACTCTATGGCCTCGAGGAAATTTGTCGAGAAAGCCATCATGTCCCCGTTCCTACTACATCTCAGCAACACGAGGAATCTTTGTCAGAAACGAAAGAGCCAGTGCTGAACTGGATAGCAGCCGCGATAGCGTTTGGACCTGGTGTGTTTTGTGGATTAGTGATCGGGCATATATTTACTTCATACAAGCATGAGTGGTTTATTATATCTCGTTAAGCCCATCTCTCTCGCGGTTTCGTCAAGTTTGTACTCCCGTAATTAGTTCGCCAGGTGTTTATTCTTTTCACTTCGTATCGTGGTTGTCTTATAAACAGTGTCAATGTTATAAACTTTAATGTTCTCACCATTTTATGTAATATGGTCCATGTTGGTTGCATATGTTTGTCAGTTATAAAGCGTTAACAAAGTGTCTTGAAAATGATGTTTCTTTTACAATATCTCATAGCCATACATTTATCTCTAATTTGAGTCTAAAAATCTTCATCTTAGTTGATTCATTGCATATTTGCATATATTTAGATCATTTATAATATGATCTTGTATTATGTTGGAATTAGGATGAACAAAACAGATGTAGAGTCTCTATTACAGAAACAGAGGAGATAAATCCAAAAATCGTATCGGCCACAATGTAATTCTTCACAGGGGAGACTTGCTGAGAAAGAAGATAAACCTTGAAGAGTGGCTTTTGCTCTTTCTTCACCTTATGACCTATAATTAATAATAAACCCATTTCCCACGGCATTACTTGGGATCATTACTTGTATAATCATGAAGAAATCAAATCTCCCGCTTCCATAGTCTTTATAACGGTTTTTATATACATAGAGTAGAGACACAGCTAAAAATCTACCAAAAATTGTCAACACTAAAGCTCGTCCTCGCAATCTTCAATCCCAACAAGAGATGAGAGAGTTGAGATCCATAATTCTAATCCTCGCTTAATCTCTTTTTTCCTAATTTCTTCGATCTTACGAACAGCTTTTTTCGACATCCCAAGTTTTATCAAAATGGTTCCAAGTGATTTGAACGTTGAGTCATCAGGTTGAATTCCAGATGACACCATCTCTTTGAATGTCTCAACAGCTTCTTTGAATCTTCCGTCTAAAGCATATAAACCGAGAACGCTGTTATAACTCAACGGATCAGTTAGAATCCTCATCTCTCTCATCTGTTTTGCTATCTGAGTCGCTTCTTCAAACCTACCGTTCTTCTTGTACATACATAACATCATCGCGAAGGTAAACTCGTTTGCTTCTCTTCTCTGTTTCATGCTTTCGAATATAGCTTCCGCTTTTCTCACCATCGATCTTTGACTATACAGGTTGATCATACAATTTGATGTATATACATCCGGATACTGTGTCTCGTTACACGATCGAAGAAGCTTTCTGTATATTGCTTCAGCTTCATCTAAGTACCCGACTTTAGTGTAGAGCTTGATCAGAGAATTGTATATAACAGAGTTTTCCGGAATTCCAGCTTCTTTCATCGCTTCTACATAACTCATAGCTTGCTGAACGTTTCCAGTATCCGCAAAAGCATTGATCAAGACGCCATATACAACAACATCGGGTTCGATATTGTACTCAACCATCTCTTTATACACTTCCTCTGCCATATTGAGCTGACCCAGTTTCACAAAGCTCGAAATCACAGCACAGTAAGGTATACAATCGCTCACATATCCCGTCTCTCTCATTTTTTCCAGGTAGCATTTGGCTTTATCAGGCATGTCGGCGCTCGCAAGGATCTGGACGAGAGTATTATATGTACACTTATCCGGTGTGACCCCATAACTCATCATGCTCTCAAATAACTCACACGCCTTTTCACAGCTTTTACTAATTCCATAAGCTTTGATCATTACGTTGTACTCAAGAACTGTTCTCTTATTTACTTCTTGGCAGCAGATAAATACCCTCTCGGCTTCTGATAAATATCCACGCTCACCATATGCATCAATGTTGGCTGAATAGCCTTCAGAACTCATATTACCCGCAACATGAAACCTTTTGAACCATGACCATGATTTCTCAAGCATCTCTGCTTCTATATACATTCTAGTGAGAGCAGATTGTGTATACTCATCAATCTCAACATCATTATCATCCATCTCTGCTATAAGCTCTTCAGCTTCCTTAACCATATGTCTAATCGAGAATGCATAGAGGAGAGTGCGGTAACTTACAGGATCCGGTTTAAGCCCAGCGCCTTTCATTTCCTTGAAGTAGGTCCCTGCCCTTTCTATATCGTTGTTCTTCGTGTGAAGTGAAATCAGAATGTTATATGTTCTTGTATCAGGTGCGCAATGAAACTTCATTGTTTTCATCAAAGAAGTGACTTCACCAAACTGACCATTATTGCCATAAACATGAATCATGGTATTAAAAGTCACTGTGGTTGGAACAATCCCTTCTTCTAGCATCCTCTTGAACGTCTCTGAAGCCTCTTTTATCTGACCGGACTTACCATACGTATCAATCATCGTGTTGTAAGTATAAGAGCTCAAGCAAACATGTGAATCCGCCTTGTTTTCGTCACACGACCATTTCTTGAAAAACTCCTCCGCTTTTTGAAACTCTCTTGCCTTTTTATACATTTGAAGAACAATCCCCGTCGTAACTTCATCAGGCTGCATCCCAATCTTACTCATCTTCCCTAGCCAACAAAGCGCATGTACTTTAAGCCCGCCTTTGCTATAAACATCGATGAGAGTCCCATACGTCGAATTAATCGGCTTGATACCTTTCCTAATCATTTCATCCCACAAACTCTGCACATACCTCCATTTACAAGCTTTCCCAAGTATCCGAAGCATGATATTATAATGAATCACATTCAATTCATAACAACCCTTACTCTTAAACCACTCGAAAATCTCCACCGCTCTCTCCCACCGCGTCTGCTCCTTTAAAATAATCGTCCTCTCCTTGTTACTAAGCTTCTCTGACCACGGACTCAACGCATCTTCAACATCCTCAATACAATCCAAAGCCTCTAGAATAGCGGGAATACATCCTCCGTAACTCAGACGTTTCGTCGAACACTTGGTGTGCACTTTACCAACCATACCATTCCCTCCAAACCCGCCATCTTTACTTCTCCTATCAACAAACCCATAACTAAAACCTGATTTTCCGACGCTGCCATTACCTGGGTTTACAAAAAGTAAGTTTTTTCCGGCGACAACTTCATGAGCAACAGTACCACAACCTCGGTCGCCATTTCTGGTGCTTCTCTGTGGTCCTTTGTCACTCTCGTGAGTTCCTGGTACGTAATTCTGCTTCACTTTCTTGACGGATGGGAATTTATCGAGAGGCGAAATCGGTAAGGTTTTTGTAGAACAGAGAACATGTAAGCTACTTCCATCTAAACGAAGATTCAACAACATTTTTCAACTGCAACGAGCATTAGTTTATTCACGAGAGAAAAGGAAAAGAATTTGCACTGCTAATTGCGACGACGGTGGTATATACTTCTCCGGCGAACGTGATTCTCTGTTGAATTCCGACGTGGTTTTTTTCTGGCAAAGTTGCAAATGGATAAAATTGCGCGCGCAAAGGACCTTAAGACATTTAGGGGTTAAATTGATAATTTCGTAATAGTTTAAGTCCTTAAAGGAAATAAAAAGCTGTAATCTCCCGAAGTATTTTTATTTGGGAAAAATGTCGTTTTATCTCCCAACTTTCAAAAAGTGGCCAATCAATACGTCAACTTCATATGTGGCCATTTAAAACATGAAATAAACGTTGACTAACGTTTGAGACATGAAAATTCGTTGACCAGGCCAAAATAGACATGCCGTTATCAGTCGTTAACGGAACCTCTAACGCCCGTTATCACCCGTAACAACTCTGTTAATCAACTTTCAAATTGTGGCCATTTTAAACATCAACTTCATATATGGCCATTCAAAACATGAACTAAACGTTGACTAACAATTTGAGACATGAGAATTCGTTCACTAGGCCAAAATAGACATGTCTTAATCAGTCATTAACAGAACCTATAATACTTGTTATTACCCGTTATCGATTCTGTTAGTCTGCCAAAAACGACGTCGTTTTGAAAATAATCGAGAGGAAATCAGGACAAATTTTTTGTTTAAAGCATAATCCAAGGACATGGTTTGATATATAGATAATCATAGAGCCAGTAATTGGAAGTAAACATCGTTTATATATTTGTTTTAAATCTAAAAAGGAATCATGGAAGCAAACTTGTAGACCCATCATAGGACTAAATGTAGCTTTTCTGAAATGGAGATGGAGATAATAGGACTATTCATCTTGTTTGAGCTGTTGTAGAAATAGATTTGGGGATTTGGTGTTTTCATTTGGGAAAAATCTTGATTTTCTCTCGATTTTCCTCAAAACGAAGTCGTTTTGGACATACTAACAGAGTCGTTAACGGGTGATAACGGATGTTATAGGTTCTTTTAACGAATGGTGGCGACATGTCTATTTTGGCCTGGTCAACGAATTCTAATGTTTCAAATGTTAGTCAACGATTAATTCATGTTTTAAATGGCCACATATGAAATTGATGTTTAAAATGGCCACAATTTGAAAGTTGACTAACAGAGTTGTGAGGAGTGATAACGGGCGTTAGAGGTTCCGTTAACGATTGATAACGGCATGTCTATTTTGGCCTGGTCAACGAATTTCCATGTCTCAAACGTTAGTCAACGTTTATTTCATGTTTTAAATGGCCACATATGAAGTTAACGTATTGATTGGCCACTTTTTGAAAGTTGGGAGATAAAACGACATTTTTCCCATTTTTATTTATACAAAACAACTCGTTATAAAATTTGTTTTCCAAGTATTCCCAAACTTTTATCATATGCACATAAAAAACCATGAAAAACAGATACTGCAATTCTGTTTTTCTACTCCACATTTAACCTCCAAACTTCGTTACACAAATATCCAATCCTAGAGAGGATCTCTTTTAACATCTCAAGCAATGTAGACACATTCGAAGGAAGCTCGCTTCTTCTTAGCTTACATGTACTTCTTGAACCAGTAACCGATGTTTAGAAAGCTTTTCAAAATTGGTCTGTCATCTGTGGTCTGTGCACACAAATGTGTTTTCAAAACGCTATGTAATGAAAAAATATGCTTTAATTTTAGCTGTGAATTTTTACCTATCAAGGGGATGATTATCGTTGGGGAATACTAAAACTTTAATCTGGACTCCTTTCTTCTTCAATGCTCGCATGTATTACATTGCTGGAGACTAACACATGAAACTGAAGACTGAAGTAAGTACTGATTCGGTGTTCAGTACAAAGAAAAGAAATTGAAGACTGAAGTAAGTACTTGGCCAATCAAGTGAGTTGTCAGAAATCCACCATGAGAACCACCTAATAGTGATATTCTTGATGCATCTGAAAATCCCATGTCAATGGCGTAATCAACAGCTGTGAGCACATCTTTCATGTCCATGAGGAAATTAGGCAGTTTTCAGATCCATGAGGAAGAGATAGACGGATAGATAGAAGAAGAAAAATGAAACTGCAGGTTGCATACATACTTGAGAACCAACTTTCCCAGGAAGAGACTGCAAAGCATCCTCACCAAATCCTAACGAACCCCTTCCACCAATGAACACATAATACATCAAAGAAAAGTTAAGAGTCTTGAAAACTATAACCTGGTGGAAAAATTTAGAAGCTTAGAACCTGTAATTTACAATCAGAAGACTGTTTCCAATCGAGGAGAGATAAGCCAGGTTGTTGGAGAAGCTGGTTGGAGAAAGAGAATGAGGGCCTCCATGAATAACAACAACTAGAGGATCACATTTCTCGCTCTTAGAACATGATACATATATAGCTTCAATGGGTTTCTTGGCCCCTGCCATTGGTTAAATTTGAAATGGTCAGAACATGTATACAGCTAAACGTGAACAAGGAACACTAGCAGATAGTAATCATATCGCATACAATCTTCTATTCGCATTGAAATCAATGTCTTAAACTAAGAGTAAATTACCTTCTGTAAGATCTTCAGGAAGATTCACTGGACTACTACACACTATTCACAAAAGAAAAATCATATGTCTCAAGTCTGCATGTGTTTAATAGGAAGTAAGTAATTATGATACAAGAAGATGTTCAAAGATGTTACCAGCAACAATATCATCACCATCTAATGCCAAGATGTTCCATGAATGATTTAAATCACTAGGGCTGACCCGCGACACTTCCCCTCTGCAATTCTCTTGATAGTTACATCATTACTTAGTGACAGCAGAACATTTTCTATAGTTACATCATTACTTAGTGACAGCAGAACATTTTCTATAATTACAAATCTCCTGTAAAATGTGTTGTAGCTCATCAAATTTACAGCAAGTATTACTTGACAGCTGCATCAAAAGGAACACAATACAAGAGTATGTTCATCTGATAGCCACGGATCACTTAGAAGCCTGGAACTGTAGAGCCTTCACTACCTAAATCTGCAATTGACACATAGCAAACATTGCCTAAGAACCTACATTAATGTAAGTATGTAACCAGTTTCAGTTTATGTGAGCAACAGAGAAAAAGGAAACACATTGAGACGCCACAAAACTTTAAATTTCTCTAATTACAGAGTAATTTCATCACTAAACTGAGAAAGAAAAAAGTGGGTAATCAATGAAATTGAGGTTACCAGAATCAGACTTGAAAAACCCAAGCTTTGTCAATGTTGGATTGTTGGGGATACACATGAACTCTTCAAGTAACTTCGATTCTGCAGAATCATACTCTTCCTCAGTTCCAGAAGAATCCATGGACGCAACTCTTCGATTTCGTTTGCAACTGTAATGAGGATAAATCAAATTTGTAGCTAAGCGAATAAAGTTTTGACATTTACTCCAGAAATCAGTAGTGATTGAGATTAGGATTAACCCAAGGAAGAAGACGATGCGAGTGGAAGTCAACCCCACAAATAGTTGACCAACCTAAGTAATTTATTTTCTTTGTATTTGTTGTTTTTCCCCATATTTTCTTGGAATTTATGTAATAGCCCATAATAAAATAATAATAATCAATTTGTCCCAAATAAACTAATTTGTTTTTTCTTCGGCAAATCAAATATATTGATATCAGAAAAAGATTACATGATACATAAACATCTCAAAACAAATGTTTACGTAAATACAGGAAATCATTACAATTTCGATGAAGAATTGGAGAGTAACCATGTTATCTTTAGACTTGGCTAATAGATATAATCTGTTATGTCTCTCATTCACATACTTTTTCTTGGCTATCAGTTTATACCTGAAACCCCAAAATGTTTTTGGCATTACTTTAAATAATAAATGTGGAATCAAAGTTGTAAGAGATGATTCTGGATCTCGTATCTTCATTGAAATCATTATATTTGTCCCAAATAAACTAATATTTATCGATTTTACCCAAGAAAAACTAATAATATTCTCTTTTTGTTTCATTATATTAAATGTTTTTTTCAATTTCATATTATAAATTTTTTACAAGTTTCTATACAAAATATCTAATTCATTTGGGTTTTTAATTAGTAATATTATATTATGTAATACTTCTTATGTTTGGTTGAATTGTTTAAATTATATATTAATATATTTTTTAATGTGGATACAACAAAGTTAATATATAAAAAAATCTCACATTTTATCTAAAACATTTAATAAGCAGAAGCGACAAAGTAATTTATAATTCATCAAATTATATCAAAGGATGAAGATGCGCTGGATTGTGCGGAAAAGAAATTTTTGTTTTTACGTACTAGATTTTCACAGTTAGATCGCTATCTTCCAAAATTAAATGTAGTAAAGGCCGGTCGAAGTCCAAACAATTTAAGAACATTGTGTCCTTGAGTTTTCACAGTTAGCCTGCTATCTTCCAAAATTAAATGTTGTAAGGACCGGTCGAAGCCCAAACAATTTAAGAACATTATGCCCTTACTTTTTCACAGTTAGGCCGCTATCTTCTATAATTAAATGTTGTAAGGACCGGTCCAAACCCAAACGATTTAGGAACATTACATTATATGTAAAATATTTAGTGAAATATGACTCTAATATTGTTTGTTTTTCTTAAACCTGTACTAATTATTGGTAGATTTCAATTCTAATATTTTTACTACATCAAAAAAAGTTTGTGTTATTATTAATCTTAATAATTGTTTTTCTACTTGTAATTTGTTTTAGAAAGATATTGATTATATAAAAAAATTGTTTTTGAGATATAATGTTAAAAATTTACAAAATTAGTAAAATCTCTCTATAAATTAATAATAAATACTTTATCGATAAATTAATACTTCTATAAATTAATAGAATTTCTCGGTCTCGATTTTATTAATTTATAGAGTTTTTACTGTATTTTGAGTGGTTAGTTTTTAGATTATAAATTATAGATCTTGATTTTTGAGGTTTGGATTTTGTAAAAGAGAGAAAAAAAAGGAAAAAGATAAAAAAAAAACATGTTTGAATCTAGAAATCAGTAATGATTGAGATTAGGGTTAATGGAAAGAAGAAGGCGATGGAAGTGGAAGTCAACTCCACAAATAGTTGACCAACCTCAGTAATTTATTTTCTTGGTATTTTCTGTTTTCCCCACATATTTTCTTGGTATTTAAGTAATAGCCCATAATAAAATAAAAATAATCAATCTGACCCACATTACCACATAAATTATTATTAATCGTTCTTACCCAAGAAAAACAAATAATATTCTCTATGTTTCATTATATAAAATGTTTTTTCCAATTTCATATTATCAGAATTTTACAAGTTTTTATACAAAATATTCAATTTATTTGTTTTTATTGGTAATATTATATTATTATGTAATATTTTTTACGATTGGTTGAATTGTTTAGGTTATATATTAATTTATGTTTTTAATGTATATATAACAAAAATATTACATAATAAATCTTGCAGTTTAGCTAAAACATCTAATAAGCTGACGTGACTGAATAATTTATAATTCATCAAATTATCTCATGTGGAGGTAAATTTTTTGCTAAATAAGTAAATATTAATGAGATTTTTCTTAGATTATAACCTTGGTTGAACTTTAAACAAAAAATCAATAAATAACCTTGGCTAAACAAATTTCAGAAATTTAAAATATTATGTTCGTGATCAAGAACAGAAAACTGATCTTATAGAACATTGCTAACATAAAATCTCATGTATCTTTACATCAAACTCCTTCAAATCTAAAAACAACAACAAAAAGAACATCACTAGAGATGGATCTCTCATCGGACAAAACCCCGAAGTTTCGTTTTTCACGGTCAACTTTAATCAAACTCCGATCGGAATCAAACCAAAAAGGGTTTTTCATTCATCGATCATAGTCATCATCTGTCTCCTTTAAAACAAAAGCTTCTCATCTTCTCTGGATCATAAGGAAGAGTCTAGAGCAGGAGCGTCGGAACCCTTCATGATTCTGAGTCTCTTACAAGATGAAGAGAACATGTCCCATGGAACATCACCAACCAACATCCAATCTCCATCTTTATCCTCGTATGTAGGCACAAATCCAGATCCTTTGTATCCTTCTCTCTCACAATATTCACCTATCGTGACTTTGAACATGTTCTCTAACGCCTTGAGAAGCTCGGGGTAGTTTTTGTATGTCTTGAGATCGATCTTGCGGAGGTAAGGAGCTCCGTCCATACTCACTTTCACGTAGCTCACACTGTTGTTGTTCTTACGGGAAGATCTCACCGGTGGCCAACCAACGATTTGAGTTCTGTAAATTGAGCAAAGAAAGATTAGTAAAACTATTCAAGAGCTAATAGTTTGAGAGAAGCCAATTTGAAACTCAGATCTCTACTTACTTGGTAGGAGGTGTAGATTCTTCTTCCTCACGAGTGTCCTCAAATTGACGCTTGTTGTTGCTTTTAACGCAAGAAACCTCTTGTTCTTCTTTGATTTCCTCTGTTCTTCCGGGTAATCCAAGACATAGCTCCGTGTCCTTAAGGTTAAGCTCGTTGACTTTCTCGTACGCCATTGCTTTTGGATCAATATCAATCTTTGTGTTTCCTTCTTGTGTGTTTTCTTGTGTTCTTTGTTGCTGTTGTGAATTTCTTGTTCTTGTTTCTTGTTCTTGTTCTTGGTGAGTTTGGTTGATGAGTTTAGAGAAATGGGGAGAGAGATATACTTATATATAAAGGAGCATCAAAGTTAGGGTTAAAGGAAGAGAGAGAAGAGTTGTCGGGAGCATGAAAGGCAAGAAAGAGGCAAGGGGACAAAAGTGGGACACGAAGCCTAAGGCCGCCCATGTGGACACGACTCTTTTGTTTAATTATTCCACGCTCCTCTTTTCCCTCCGCCAACTTTGTTCACGTTAACATCTTAGCCGTCCATCTCTCTTGCCTCTTCTTTTTCTTGCAAAGGATGTATGATAATTATAACCAAGAAAGAATATAAAAATGAATGAAATGATGAGAATTCTATCGGCCGACCCGGAATAAAAGCAAACAGAGATAAAATAAAGAGGTGTATTATTATAACATTCTATATACTGTTTCTTAAAGGTTTTTTTTTTTCTATTTCTTTTTTAAGGAGTGTATAGTGCAGGTTATAAAGAAAATATCAAGTGCTAATGATTGTTAATCCATTAATTGTTTTTTTTTTATAATTGTTAATCCATTTGTTGCATAATAAGTATTGTTAATTTATATTTAAATATAATGTGTTGTCTTAGAATTTGATGAGAAAGTTGATTTTTTTTTTTTAGTTTGCTTCTATTGATTGTTTAAAAAGGTAAAATAAATTTTTAACTTCAAAGATTAATAGATCTTTTTTTAATTGGTTAAAAGAACACTTTATTGAATCCAAAATGGAATTATTTAGAGTTTACAAGTACTCTTCTGTGTAACGAACTTATTGAGTGTGCACAGGTTGAATTTTATCACTTTTCACGTATATGTAATTTGATTTATAGAGAAATATTAGTTTTATGTTTAAATCTGAGATAATACCGAATAATATACGTTACACTTACATATTTGTGTTTTCGAAGCCATATTTTTGCATGGCATTTTCTATATTGTGAGTTGGAAAATGTTATAAATTTTTGTGTGTAGATTTTGATTTTAGTAAAGGAGAATATAATAGGAGAGGGAGACCCATGTGGATAAGGGTCAAATATGTTGGTAATTGATAGAGGAATGGTAAAGCCATGTGCTTTCTTATGTATATGTCTCTTTAATTATTCATTAACTTATTTCCTACAAAAATGGGTTGTGGGGAGAGGTTCCACGTGCTATGTATTCATTGAATCATAAAACTTAAAAGAATGAACCAAAAGTGGTAATTTAATTCTCCCCATAGATTACGCTTAACTATGTTTATTTAGCTTCTAATCCGCATGCGATTTGATGTTAACGTGTAGGCTTTATTCAATGGATTTACCAATTTTTGATATTATTGTTTTCTCTTCTTTTGAGATAAAGATTCCTTCTATGTTTTGCCCCTTCCATCACCAAAAGATTAGATAAGTAAAGCGATGGAAGATACGTTGCCTCTCTTCTTATAAGTATATAAATTAATTTAGAGTTTCTGATTGTCAGAGTTTTATGTATTGTTTTCAGTTATAACGAACCCATGCAATGTATTTTCTCACAAATTAAGAGATGCACGAATGAATACCTTTTTTTCTGTTAATTGCACGAATGAATACTATAGGTTAACCATTTACAGATTTCTAGAATCACTTAACATGGTGGGAAACAAACTTCTTGAGAATAGGTTTTTTCATGTTTGTGTGTTCATGCATGTTTTAGTCTAAGTGAGAAGGTATTATTTAAAGATAACTACTAGATCTATCATCTATGTGATGCTTATATAGATGATTACTAAAGCTAGTTGTTGGTTAAACTCAACGTTTTTATTGTAAACCGATTTAAGATAGTACAAGAGTATTCAGTTACTGTTATGGAGTTAATACATGTATATATATTGAACATTAAGCCAAATACATAGATCATCTGATCATGTATGTCATATATGACAGTTTTGAAATTTAAATTTAGTATGTTTTCCTTGACTATAGTTTCATACCAAAACATTAAAAATAATTTTGAAAATTTTAATTTAATATGTGTAAAGTGACTATAGAGATAGTTTAGTATGTTTGACATGACCATAGTTTCGTACCAAAACATTAAACTAATTTGAATGTTCTAACGAATTCAAAACAAATATAGGCACCCAAAAAAAACAAAAAAAACATGTTATTATAATTAAGGATTATAGAAATAATAATAAAATGATACGCTTAAAAGAAAATGAGTAAGCTAAAGATGAGGAAGAGGAATGATGTTGAAACACACAACTTCTCTTGTGATGCATACACAAGCTAGACTCCAAAGAGTCGTGTCTTTTGCAAATCACATTCGTGTGTATCTCAAAAAAGTTGGCTCCTTCTTAAATTATTAAAGTTTTTTTGTTCCCTTTTCGACTCATCACTATCTTCTTCTTATCTCCACCTTCTCTCTTTTTTATTTTTCATATATATGATTTTTATTAACTATTAATGTATCATCTTACTTTTACTTATTTAGACTTGTTTCAATCATCACGTCTTCAAATCAGCTGTCAAGGAGATAAAATGTTGTTTTCAAAGTTATTCATCGCAAACAAAACAAAACCCTTAAAAGTTGAGTGAATCCAAAATCCCCTTTCTCAGATCCAAAATTCGTATACAAACGCTAGGATTTGAAAAATGTGACATGATGTAGAACAAGAGGCGGCTAGGTTTTAATGTGTTCTTCTTATTATTTTACCAACGATTACGATCTCATATTTATACAAAAGCTAAGTCTTGAGGACCAAGTAAAATAAACCCTAGAGTATCTTGTTAAGATATCTTTCAAACAATAAGAAAATATATCATATATACGTGTATATCCTCCAATACTCCCCCTCTCGTTGGAGCATGAAGGTAACAAATGCCCAACTTGGACGATAACTTTTGAAACGGTACACGACCCAAAGCTTTCGTAAGCAAATCCGCAGGTTGCTCCAATGTACGAATATGAACCATGACGATAACTCCATTTTGAACAGCATCCCGTACAGCATGACAGTCTCTTTCCACGTGTTTGGTGCGTTCGTGAAAGACGGGATTGTTGGAGATGTGGATAGCGGCTTGACTATCACAGAACAACCGAATGGGCTGAATTTGCTTACATCCCAAGTCTTCAAGAAGTTGTCGCAGCCACAAAATTTCATCCAATGCATTGCGCATGGAACGATACTCGGCTTCAGCGGAGGACTGAGATACAACATGTTGTTTCTTGGTCTTCCATGAAATGGGAGAACCACCTAAAAACATAACGTATCCACTAAGCGAACGTCGCGTAAGCGGACACGTTGAGAAATCAGAATCACAGTATGCCGTGAGACAAAGATCAGACTTTGATTCCAATAAAATTCCTTGACCAACCACTCCCTTTAAATAGCGGACAACACGCAAGGCAGCTTCCATATGATCAACTCGTGGTGTCTTCATAAACTGGGACAAAATATGAACAGAATACGCAAGTTCCGGACGAGTAGTGAGAAGATAAATAAGCCGACCAACCAAACGTCTATACCTTTCTGGATCCGGAATAAAATCACTTGTACTCAAACTCAATTTATGATTTTGTTCAAGAGGTGTTGCTGCCGATTTAGACCCGAGTAGACCGGCTTCACTTATAACATCCAAGGCATATTTCCGTTGAGATAGATAAATACCTTCAGAACTCCTTGCAATCTCAATGCCAAGAAAATATTTAGCCTTTCCCAAATCCTTCATATGAAAACATCGTCCCAAATAATCTTTAAAACTTTGTAGCATACGTGTATTATTACAACAAATGAGAAGATCATCAACGTAAATAAGAATCCGCAATTCAACTCCACCATGTGAATAAGAGAACAAAGAGTAATCCGAGTATGATTGAACAAACCCAAACTTTGTCAAAGCGAAAGTGAGTTTGGAAAACCAACAACGGGAAGCTTGTTTAAGCCCATAAAGAGACTTGCGTAGGCGACAAACCTTATCAGGATCCGTATGACGAAAACCAATCGGGAGTTTCATATAGACTTCTTCTTCTAAATCACCGTGAAGGAAAGCATTATGCACATCCATTTGATGGGCTTCCCAATTTTTCCCAGCCACAATACGTAGTAAACCACGAACCGTTGTCATCTTAATCACATGAGCAAATGTCTCATTATAGTCTCCACCTTCTACTTGATGGTTTCCACAAGCAACTAACCGTGCCTTGTAACGTTCTATCGAACCATCAGCATGAAACTTGATTTTTTATACACCCATTTATTATTTATAGCTTCTTTACCAACCGGTAGATCAACTACATCCCATGTCCGGTTGATCTCTAAGGCATCTACTTCGGAGCCCATAGCATTTGTCCAACGAGGATCTTGAGCAGCCTGCTTGTATGTCTTTGGTTCAACACCCGCAACAACGGCAGCTAAAAACACTTGATGGGCAGGTGTAAATTGATCATCAGAGATATAATTCACAATGGGATAAGGTGTCTTACCTTGGACCAATGTCGGGGAAGCTGTGTTGAAGTCGGGTGAGCCGTGATGGGGTTCTTTCAAGCAGCGAGTGTTGTATGTCACATAATCTTTCAATTTAACGGAGGGAAACTTCACCCTTTTTTCAACACCTAACTCTTCCTCCTCAGAAGACGAACCCGACAGCTCATTTTGTTGAGAAGACATATCATTTTGTGGAGAAGGAGAAGCCTCTTCATCGAAAGACACATCCTCCACCACTATCGGCGTATGGCTACTAGACGGTGTAGGAACTTCATTGTCAACAACAGGTGGTGACGGTGTGGAAGCAATATTTTCAGTTTCAACAAGAGGAACCTCAACAACTTCAATATCCGCAAGCTCACTCCCCTTTGCTAATGAGAGAGCAACGACCCAATCATCATCAAAACAAACTTCTTCTTGCGGTGTAAGCACTTTGCCCTCAGCACTAGCAAAAGGAAAAATGTTTCTTGGAAGACAACATCCCGAGAAACCAAGAATTCCTCTTTTTCAAGATCATAAACTTTCCAACCCTTTTTTCCAAAAGAGTAACCAACAAACACACAAG